CTGAGCTACTAGCGACAAGCCTATTCTGGACATTTCTAATCTTTTGCTGTACATAATGAATACCCTTGTATTTATATCTCTTCACAAGGATATCTGGGGCTTCCCACCCCTTGAGGGCTTTACCCTTTAGTGGGACTCAGGCACGTTTGATGAGGGATGTCTTTTTGACTTTTTGCAGGTGCCCAGGGTGGCTCAGTGGCCCGAACACTCCTGGAAGATGGGACATTCAGGGTTCGAGTAGTGACCCGGGACACTGGGCAGAAGGCAGCAAAGGAGCTGAGGCTGCAAGGTGCAGAAGTGGTGCAGGGAGACCAGGATGACCCAGCCAGCATGGAGCTGGCCCTCACTGGGGTTTATGCCACCTTCATTGTGACCAACTACTGGGAGAATTGCAGCCAAGAGCAGGAGGTTAAACAGGTGATGGCAGGCCTTTCTTCTTCACACTTCTTTTTTTTTAGACAGAATTTTATTATGTTGCCCTCAGTAGAGTGCCCTGACATCATAGCTCACAGCAACATCAAACTCCTGGGCTTAAGAGGTTCTCTTGCCTCAGCCTCCCAAGTGGCTGGGACTACAGGTGCCCTCCACAGTGCCCAGCTATTTTTTTGTTTGTTTGTTTGTTTGTTTTTGGCTGGGGCTGGGTTTGATCCTGCCACCTCCAGCATATGGAGCCAGCGCCCTACTCCTCTGAGATACAGGCGCTGCCCCCCCGGCTATTTTTTTGTTGTAGTTGTCATTGTTGTTCAGCTAACTCAGGCCGGGTTCAAACCCACCAGCAAACCTGCCAGCCTCAGGGTATGTGGGTGGCGCCATACCCACTGTGCTACAGGTGCTGAGTCTCTTCACTCTGTGCTAGGCTGTGATGAAAGTGGAGACTACTGTGACCCTTATCTAATAACTTTTTTTTTTCTGAGACAGAGTCTCACTTTGTCACTCTAGGTAGAGTGCTGTGATGTCACAGCTCACAGCAACTTTAAACTCTTGGGCTTAAGCAATACTCTTGCCCCAGCCTCCCAAGAAGCTGGGACTATAGTCACCCACCACAGTGCCAAGCTATTTTTAAAGATGCGGTCTCTGTCTCACTCTGGCTCTGGCTCAGAGCTCAGGCCATCCACCCACCTGGCCTAGGCCTCCCAGAGTGCTAGTATTACAGGCATGAGCCACCAGCCTGACTTCCCTTATTTTATTGAAATAGCATTCATTTACCCTTTTAAAGTATACAATTTAGTGGTCTTTAGCATATTCACAAAAGTATATAGCAGGGGTCCTCAAACTTTTTAAATAGGGGGCCAGTTCACTGTCCCTCAGACTGTTGGAAGGCCAGACTGTGGGGCCCGGGATGAGTCAGCTGCTAAGCAGGACAGGCAGCAGTGGTAAAAATACCCAGCAGGCTGGATAAATGTCCTAAGCGGGCTGCATGTGGCCTGTGGGCCGTAGTTTGAGGACACCTGGTATACAGCCACCATTCTGTTCCTAAAACATTTTCATTCCCCCCCCCCCCAAAGAAACCTGGTGCTCATTAGCAGTCACTTCCTTTGCCAACCCCACCCTAGGCAGCCACTCTTCTACTTTGTATCATCTAATGACTTCTTATGCTTTCCAGAAAAACAACTCTTGACCTATAATTTATTTGGAATAAAATGCACACTTTTTTTTTGTTTGTTTAGAGACAGAGTCTCACTCCATGCCCTGGGTAGAGTGCTGTGGCGTCATACCTCACAGCAACCTCAAACTCCTGGGCTCATAGCTGAGCACCACAGCTCAGTGGTTGGAGTGCCAGCCCCACACATCATGGCCAGCAGGTTTGAACCAAACTCTTGGACTCAAACTAGAAATGGGGGGGAAAAAAGCTTAGAAACCACAATATTTGCCTCAGCCTCCCAAGTAGCTAGGACTATAGGTCCTACCCCAACACCCAGTTAGTTTTTTCTGTTTTTAGTAGAGATAGGATCTCACTCTTACTTAGGCTTATCTTAAACTCCTGAGCTCAGGCAATCCACCTGCCTTGTCCTCTCAGAGTGCTAAGATTATAGGTATGAGCCAGGCACCAGCCAAATGCACAGATTTTAACC